TTTGCATTTATAAGAAACTTAAAATAGTGAAAACATAAATATAATTTATAAAATGAAAAAATACAAGTAAAAGTAAGAGTAATATGAAAAACTGTTAAAAAATAAATATACAGTTAAACTTAAATATAAGGAGGTAATGTTATTAAAAAGTTCAAAACTAAACTAAACTTATATACTATATATACTAAACCTAATACACTAAATGTATCGAACTTATCATTAATAGATTAAAAATAATAAAATTAAATTTTAATATTTATTAAAACTTAAAACTAAATTCAATCATTAATTAGTTAGGACAAAATAAAATTAAAAAATTAGCTATCGTTTGTTTTGCCATATTTTAAATCCAGTTCATATATCGCCAATCTCTCTTTTTGTTTTAACTTCTCCTCTTTTAGCCTGAATCTCATGTTCATCTTATCCTCCTTCATGCGCAATTTTTTTAGTTCCAATTCTTTGCGAAACTCGAATTTTTCTACTTCAAGTTGAAGCTTCCGATTTTGGAACTCCTCTTGTTTGCGTTCAATATCGCTTAGTTCCTGAATGGCGGATGTTTGTTTATTACGTCTTAAATTGTTTTCGAAACGAATCCTCCCTGGTGTAGTTTTTTTTTGTGTGTTAACCTCGCTTCTGTTAGTAGTGGTCTGTTGCACAGTATTTTCTGTCAGTATATCTGCATAAAATATTGTGCTAAATGGTGTTGCTTCTTCGCTGTTCGCTATTTCAACGTCTCTTCTCGTCGAATACCATAACAGAAGATTGTAAAACAATTTCGTTACTCCAAGCTTTCTCACCAAATATTTCCGACAATTGGTCATAATACGGACACATCAATTTTACCTTATCTACAAACAAAAAGGTAACATATATATAACATTTATACTATCATAAAATTGATTTTAATTACCTCTTACAGATGTGACTTCTTCGTCATCTAGCAAGCCGGCGCCAGTAGACTTGCGCCAATTGTTTGCGTTAACAAATTTTGCTTAAAATATCTCATCTTAAATCTTACTAAGTCCCACGTCGCATCAATTTTTGTCACTTCCAATAGTTCTTTATAATATATTTGGACTGTTTGTTTCTATAATTAAAACGAATCAAGTTTTGTGAAAATAATAAAAACAAACTGTCATCCAACCTCAAAATGTCCGTTTGCATGAATATATTCTAATATTTTTAAATATTCCTCATTTGTCCATTTTCGTACTGAATTTTTTCTTTTCCGTGTTTTTGTTTGTACATTACTCACTAAATTAAAACATTTTAATTTAAAAATTATATTTAATTTGTTAACTTACTTTTGCCAAATCTCCTGCTCTTCACTTAACACAATATTTAATATTAATCAAAAACAAAACAAATTTTAAATGCTGCCCATACGAAATGCTTAGGATAAATACATATTCGGAGTAAAATTTTTTCTTATGTATAAGAAATATGGCAACATTGAAAAAAGAGTAAAAGTGCAACGCAAATGTTAGTCAAACCAAATGCTTGACTAACGTAGTAACATTGCAACACACCACTAGATATGTATTTTGTTGTTGCTGCGTTGCACTTTTAATACGTTACTCGGTTACCGAGCGCGTTACTCGAACTCGTGAATAACCCTAATATTTTACAGGCTGGCGGTCCTAATCGCGTGTATCAGCGGCTGAGTAACACTGGTTTAAAGTTTGATACCCTTATTTTGAAGTTATTTAGGCCACCATCATTCATAGTCAACTGTCACAAAATACATTTAAATGTATACAAAATAAAAAGTTCAGAAAATAATTGTGTTGTATAAATCGAATTTTGTTTTATTTAATAATTAAATTACTAAAACCGTATTTACAAGCACTACAAGATATGGATTAAAATATGTAAGTCAAAAATTGTATTTGTTTGAAGACAACAACATATGAATATCATTATTGTCAGCAACATCCAAACACGTTTGACCATTTAAATTAATAAGTTTACTATTTGCATTAAATGATGTTAGGACGTACACATTCAACGTGACCACAACTAGCAGAATAATGTAACGCAGTCTGTTCTTCACCATCACGTACATATATCTACATTAGCACCTGAATTGAGTAAAAAATGTAAAATTTTCAATGCATTGTGATCTGCTGCCCAGTGGATTAAACCCATGCCATTTTCGTCTAAGTCACTCAGTTATCCAAATGTTAGGTTTATTTGCAAAACTTCCAAGATTGGCTTCTATGACAAAGTCAATAGCATCTTTTTCATGTTCAGCTTTTGTACTATATCATTTGGCGGTAGCTCAATAAAATGAACTACCCAACGAAAGGCAGATTCACATTTTTAACTTTGGCTACCAAAGTGGATCAAATTTTTCGCAAAATAATACAAACGTCAAAAATTACCAAAACAATATTGCCAATGAAAAGAAATTCACTTAGTTCTTTTGGAAATAGCCATTATAATAAAATTGTATTAAATAAATGTTTATAATATTAAATAGAAGTAAAAAAAATTGTAGAAAATACAAATATTTACAAAATGTATTGGAAATGCTCATTAAATTATGAATAATATTGTGACGAATTTGGATTGAGAAATTTCAAATCGTAGCAACATGGAAAAACTGACAGAAATAAGGAAAACTAATGTCAAAGATATTTTTTCAGAAATGCTCTCCAATGCACAATTATTTGATGTGTAGAACCTGTGACGATCACGCAGGTGTACACAAATTTAATTTTGCATAATAAAATTTAGATTTTTTTGTTGTAGTTACTATTGTTAGCACGATTTACTAGTTATTTACTAATTCCTTATTTCTAGGAAAAAAAAGTAAGGTGTATATAATATTGTATCGAAGTATCTAAATAAAATGTAAATTAGTATATAACCAAAATTGTATGAAAGAAATAAATATTTGAATAGCATAAAGCGATTGGTAGGTTTTATTCACACTTTTTTGTTTCCTTGTAAATTTATAAAATAAATGTGTTCTACAAAGATTAATTTTTAATGTAATTAATTAGTTTTTTCCATAATTAATTTTAAAGGTTTAAATTTCGAGTTTAATTTCATTTTCCGTTACTAAAAAAATAATAAAAATATGTTTATAAAAGCATAAATATTAATTTCATAAAATTTTTAAGTATGTATTTTATAATATTTAAAATTTTTTGAGTTTGCTCTCACTTTAACTTTTGCTCACGAAGGTTTCAAATAATTTCATTGCGAATAAAAACCGCAAATAAGAACAAAGAATCCGATTTTATTTCCAACTTCGAAGACTGTTTATTATTCCATTAATTGAATTCTCCGAATACTTCGTAAAACCGAATACGAACGGCACTGCCCTAAATTAGCATACATTGATGCAGCTCATATTATTCGCATATTTTAAAAACCGAAACTATTTGATTGTTCAATTAATCTGATAACCACGGTTGCCACTTGAAAATTTTTTTCTGTACCAAAATTGGTTTAAAAAGGTACCATTTCTGTAAATAAAGGTCCAAAATTTTTCTATTGTCTTTTTATAAGAAAATACAATTTATATAAAATGTACAAAAAGTATAAAACAATACAATGTCCACAATAAAGTTGGGTCGCCGAAAATGTACCATTTTTTGAACATGAGTACCAGGGTACCAAACGGAAAAAAAAGTACCAATTTTGGTACTAAAGTACCATAAGTGGCAACCGTGCTGATAACAACGAAGTTCTCGGAGTTGAAACAAAATTAATAAAGCATTTTTGTTCAATGATTAATTTGATAATGTGATTTTTTTATAATGCATAATTATTTTTAAAGGTTTTAATTCGTAATCTTATTTTTTTTAATAAACGAAAAATTCAAACTTTTACGAAATTTCCACTGCTAACAAAATAATAAAAATATTTTTTTGAATACATATATATTAATATTGTCAAATTTTTACATACAATTTATATTTTTATTTCATATTTGCATTAATATAATTTCTCTAATATAAGTTATAAATATTAATATGAGTTATTTAATATGTACATTTTCAAATTAAAATTTTAAAATTTTAAGAAATAAAAAATAATGCGATAAAATAAAATAAAACAAACATTGCACATATATAATTTTCTGTATTTTTCAAATTTATGACGTTGTATTAATACAACAACAAATTTTATTATTTATACCAAAAGTTTGTGAATATTTGTGTGATGCGTGTTTATTTACATTTTGTCCTCTCCCTTCAACTTTCGCTCCCGGTATCATCGAATAATTTCACTACCAATAATAATCTTAAATCCGGATATTCGAAGACTCCGAATTTACAAAAAACCCAATTTTTTTCCACTACGGGGACATCGCTTACTATCCGATTAATCGGATCTTCCGAATAGTTCGTAAAACCGAATACGAACAGTACTAACATACACCTGCTTTACAAAAAGTATTTTTACTATTAACTTCTTGGATTTAAAATTTTCTTATATATTGTGTTGCGAGTGTTTGTGTGTATGAATACCTCGTGAAGTCGACTTAGACTAAGAGCAGCTTGTTTGAAATCATAGTTTTCAATAGTGTCGTACACGTCGAGTACAACGCTGGTGTGTAATTTTAACAATTTTTAAAAATATCTTTAAGAAAATTAATAATTTCTTTATGTGATAAAAAAATTGAACACTGAAAAAAACAATTGTGAAATAATACAATGATTTCTTTAATTAAAAATTAAAATTTTTTATATAATGAAAAATTGATAATAAAAATAAAATTATTTAGTATAGTTTTTATTTTATAAATGATCAATATAAAAAAACAATACGAAATAACTCAAATTACTTGAGCTCAAAAATAAAAAAATATATCAACATGAGTTTTAAGAGCAAACGTGTTTCCATAAAAATCTCAGCCGATATACATAAGTAAACTACTTTCTTAAGCAGAGCTTAGGAATTTTATCGGTTTTTTTTATTTCTCTAATGAAAGCGAAATTTAAATAATTGATTTCCATACAACAGCAATCTTAAAAAATATTTAAAAAATAACAAACAAATTTAACATCGCATTTTTTGAACCGGTATTGCACTTTCCCCTCATAATATAGTAGAGCCATAATCGTAGCATCACCAATAACATCAACAACAATAGCAACAGTTTACACAGCATACTTGTATTACGACGGCATACTACAAAGTAGCATACTAGTCATTGTATAGTCCACAGCCTATCCGGACATAACATATGTATGTGCACTACAGTAAAAAATGCTAAGCATTTTATTAATAAAGTGGAGAAGAGGTTAAGCTTTTATTTTAAACATTTTTCGGTGTACTTTCTATGAAAAATATTCATTTACAAATTTGAATGGACTGCATAGTGATAGTTGTGCTTAAAATTGAATATGTATATGAAAAACCAAATGAGTGTTTTGATGGAGAAATTGAACACGGTGAGTTTGAATTTTTTAAATTCAAAATGTTCATATTAAAACTATTTGTGATCGTTTGAATTATTAATGAAGCCGCACACAGCATTTTTATAATTTTTCGAAGTAAATGTTTACTAGTTTTAACTTCAAGTACTCGAATAATTTATTTCTTTCATTTTGAGTATACGTATGTATATTATGTATTACTTCCCTGTGGGGAATTTACATCACTTTAAACTGAATTTAAAACATTATATTCAAACTAGTTGTATTTTTTAATCGATTGCTTTCTTTACTACTGGCTATTCCAGCATTGCGATATCATATAAGAATTGTTTTTATTTATTAAAGTGCTTTATTTAAAACTTATACAATAAAATGAAAGTATTTATACTTAAGGTACTATATTATTATTGAATTTAAATATTAATAATATTAGAATAGTTACGAGTTCACTTTTTATATTTTGCGAAACTGAATAAAAATTTGTGTATGAAATAAAAATTAATAATATGAAACCAACTTAAAATGTTACTATTTTAAAATGTTTTTAATTAGAATATAAAAATTTTATAATGTTTTTAGTATTTATTCTAATTATTTTTATGCATTAATAATATTTTTTCTGAAGTTAAGAAGTGTTCTTTTAAATTATTTGTCAATATTCAGGAAAATATATTTAAAATTAAGAAATAAAAATAATTCAAATAAAAACAATAATTAAATTTATTGAATTTTAAAATTTATATATAGAATTTACCGCTAAAAATATCCTAAAAGTAGTAATTGTAACACTATAAAAATTATTTAGTGAAAATTAATAAAATTATGAATAAAGGAATTGAAATGGGAGAAGAAGAATCTAATTTTATGATTAACTTAAAACTAAATAAAATCAATGTAACCAAAAATAAAACGAATTTTAACCGTGATCATTTATATAAGGAAGAATAATATAATACAGTCAAACTTCCATAACTCGAACTAAAAAGAGAGTAAGTGCAAAAAGAGCTTTAAAGAACAAATAACACACAATTCTGCTTCCATAAGTTGAACTTCTGTAACTCTAATTTCTACATACACATAGTCAATAAAGTTTGCGTACACCTTACGAGTTTTGATATGTGATAAAGAAACACAACATAATTAAATATTTTATATTTATTTTTACATATGATTATTCCTTGAAATTTTAAGTTTAAACAGTCTTGTACCTACTATACACCTCCGATATTCCCACACCATTCTTGCTTCTTTTACTGATGATACTGAAAAATTAAATTGCGTGAGATAGTAAAGATGACAAACATATCATACGAACGTGTATATAAAAAGCTTTCGGTCGCGTTTGATCACAATTGACCAAAAACGGCAACGATTTCGTCATTCAAAACATTGTTTGGAAATGTTTATGCACAATCTAGCTGACTGTAAGCGTCGAGTAATTGATGAAACATTGATTCATTTCTTCACATCTTAGGGAAAACAACAAGCCATAGAATGGGTAGAGCTGGGGGTAGTGCTTCCAAACGTCCACGAACTCAATCTGCTGGAAAAGTTTTGGCTTCCGTATTTTGGGATTCAAGTGGCATAATTTTCATAGACTATTTCGAAAAAGGAAAAACAATAACATCAGACTACTATTGCATATTATTGAATCGATTGAATGAGAAGTTTAAGAAAAAACGACCACATTTATCGCAGATAAAAATTTTGTTTTTGCAGGATAACGCACCCGCTCACACGTCAATGAAAAACAGTGGAAAATTGAATGCATTACGATAGGATAACTTGAATATATCGTTCCAGCGAAAAAGATTTGCATTAAATGATGAAGTGGAATGGGAAATGGAGGTATATTTTAAAAGACTTGATAAATCGTGTTACTTAAAAGGTATCCAAATATTGAAAGATTGTAGGACTTGTTATGAACTTAAACAACGTGTTGATATTTCGTTGGCTTGACTCGAACTGAACTAATAGAATCAAACAAAAGCTAACCAAACCAAATCAATTATGCTGAGATTTGCATTCTTAAGATAAGTGCGGTGGTGTTTGTCGTATGTAAGTTGATTCCTATAGGAGAAACCATAAGCGCAACATTGTTCATAAAGTAAACAAAGAATACTGTGTGCAGCTTGACTACAGTGATCATGGCTGAATCAGCATAAACAGTAAGTAAGCTTCAATGCACTTGAAATAAAGTAAACAGGAAGCGTTACTTTGTGTGTAGGATAAATTCCTAAACAAAACTGTGATATTGCGATTTGTCTTTTATTTGTCTTGATACAAAATAAGACAAAACTTAATTTGACAAATATGTGGAATAAATCCACATAACACCTCCGCCCTTAAAGAAAGGCAATGACATAGTAATTGACTTTACTTCCAAAAGCAAATCACATCACAACAAACAGGCATGGCCAACCCCAACTTTGACTTCAATTAATCCAAATCAATAACTTTATTAAAGCATATATATATATATAACAATATTTAAATTTTCATACAGGTTTTGCTTAACATAAATAATAAAATTTTTTTATATATGATTAAATAAATTTTTTTTTTTTTTTTTTTTATGATTATGTTAACTAATTTCTTTCTTACAGTATATGCTTATCGGATATTTGAAATATTTTATAATAAATTTACAAAATATTAAATATATTTATTTATATATTTACCATTCATAATTGTATTTATTTTTAAAATTATTGTGTTCAACAGTTACTTCGCCATCAGATTTTTTATTAGTATATACAACAATATTATTCCTTAAGGGATTTGGCGACTCCTTTTTTACATTAAAACATTTATTAAATATATTTATACATAAATTTCCTTTTATACATTTTACAATAATTATTATAATTATGGTTATAAATAATGACATTAATCCGTACCAATATGAGTTGGAATTCAATTTAATAGAATTTAGAGACTTTGATATAAAACTTTTCTGATTATTTATTTTAATACTTAAATCATCAATATTTTTAATATTACTAGGTTTTAGTTTAGATAATAATTCAATTTCTTCTATTTCATTAATCTTTATGTTTAAACAGCAATCATCAGAATAACCAAAATATAGGTCGTTAAATACAGTTTCATTTTTGTTATCAGATATTATAATTTTATAATCTACAGTTTCGAACTTACAATTAAAATCAAAATACAATATACCAACTCCATTCAAATATCCTTTTTCTTTAATTTTATTTTGTTTACATTCATATTCATATTTTATTTCATTGGTTACGGCGTACATATATTTATTATCATTTATTTTCATGTATGTCTCTACATTATAAGGTATGTATTTAATTTGACAATGTTTACTGTTTCGTTTCATAAAGTTATTTAAAACACAATTTTCTACAGTAATAGTTGATTCAGATATTAATTCATTAGCCAACAGATAGCTATTATCAACAACTTCGAAATCATTTAAATTATCAAACATGGCAAAATATTCCTTATCCCTAGATATTAAAAAATAATTATTTTCTTTTTCTAATATTACCTGTTTATTCTTCTCAAATATTGGAACTGGTATTACCTGATAGGTATCATAAATGTCCTTTTTGACAAATGGAACTAGAACTATTACAACTATAACCTTCTTGTGTTCAAAAGCTTTAATTTTAGAATACTTTATTATTTGGCTGTATGATTCCAAACTAGGTGTATATAAAAGATTTGGTTCATTTTTACTTTTCAGTAATATATCAATAAATTTTTCTGGACTCAATAACATTGGGTGTATTAATTTTAGTTGCATGAATAAAATGATATCAATTAGCCTTTCTAATTCAAATTCAAGATCTAAACAACTGCTTACTATTTTTAATTCTATTTCTTGCATGTATTCAAATATAGCCATATTTTTACTATTTTCATTGACTGTTCCTATTAATGAGTTAAGTTTATTTATGAATTTATTGGTAGTATTCTGTATATCTTCGAAACTTTTCTTTATGTTTAAGTTTTGTTCATTTAAATTTTGAATAATTTTAATTTCTTCCTTCAACCCTGTTTTTATAAACTCTTCATTATTATTTATATCCGTTATCACCTTATTATAATATTCAGCATCCTCACTATCCATAGTACCAAATAAAACTTTAAGCCCTGATCCTATTATATTTAATATTCCTCTCTTGTTTCTATTTCCCTTCAAACTGGACTTAATTCCAAGCATATTATGTACTACATTTATTTTTTTTATTAAATTTTTAAAATGCTGTTTTCCAAAAACAATGATCTCTTCACATTCGTGATAGGAATCTATGCAAGTTTTATCTACATGATCTACTTTACTCCCAAGCCAATTAATTTTATCTTCATAAGAAGTTAGATTTACATTAGTAATTATGGATATATGACGGTCCACGATTCTGGTTTCCTGTACTTTCTTGAAATAGAAGCTTCCTTTCCCATTAATATCCTCGATTTTAAGAGCGAATATAGCTAGAAAAAAGCTGAACAGTTTAAACAAAATTAGTTTTCAATATATCTTTTAATTAGATTTTTTGAAATTTTTCTTGTTCTACGATTTGTTCTTATAAAGACATTAGCTTCGGTGACTTTTACAATGGTATATGGACCAGTAAAAGTATTTTCTAACTTTTTATTTTTTGTAAGATTTTTCACAACTATCTTTTGACCTACTTCATAATTAGGTGTATCTGTTATCTTTTTATCATAGATTAATTTTGACTTTTCCTTACAAACTGTTGTATTTTCTTTTACTTGCTTTTCAATGTTCTCTATGATAACTTTTATATTATTGACATATCCCCCTATAGTTACTAAATCTAAAGCGTCAATTCCACTCGGTCTATTTCCTTTCCTTCCAAAAATTATTTCGTGTGGTGAAAAAGCAGTGGAGGAATGAGTTGTTGTGTTATAACATAAACCTGCAAACTTCATTGCTTCATCCCAATTCGATTTCTCAAACTCAACTGTATTCAAATATTCCTTTAACCTTCCATGTACTCTTTCTATAGATTCAT